CAGTTTAATACTTGATTATCCTTGAGAAACATACTGACTTGATCGTCGGAGTGCCCCCGGGTGGAAGAACCACCGCCGGAGCTTTTCCTTTCTGTTACAGGTTGTTGGAGCCATCTATTCTGCCGGTGCTTTGCTGCTGATCACTAAACGGGCAGTGTGGTCAGATTTTTACCCACACAATTTTATATGAATGTAAATTTATATAAATTTATATGTGTGTGAGTTCTACACTCATATGAGAGATTTGGTAAAAAAAATTAATAAATTATTTAGAATCTCTAGCATCACTCTTAATTGAGTCCCTAGACTACCTATTGAAAAAATAGAAAAATGTTTTATACACTAATAGAGTATCACATGATACTATTTTCTACTAAATATAAACATATATGTTTTCTATTATTTTTTAAACACTTAATATAAATATAGTATATTCTATTGTCAAATCCAATTACAATAATAGAAGGTACTACATAACATATACTCTATTCGCATACAAAAATTACTCACAAAAATGGCATAGCAATATTATTTTTGTAAATAAACTCATCTTTGTGGGTATTCTGCTTTGAAGTGAAATATTCATATTAAACTACATTATTTTGTATGAATTTTTTTAATTATATATCATTACTCTTATTATATTTATAATATTAAAAAAAAAAGAATTGAAATTTGATGTAATCGAATTCTAGCACCTCGAGCTAGCTCTTGAGGTGTACTCGTTTCAAAAAATATTTTCTGATACCCCGCTCTTGTCTCCAAACCTTATCAAATGGGAAAAATTTTTAGTATAATTTGAGATGGGTATGAACGAGATGGACTAGAGGGCAAAATAGTCATAAAAAATAACATAAAATTACTATAATATAAAGATCAAGGATATGAAGAAGAGGGGGAAAAAAATCAATACAGTTTCTAAAATTTTAACCATGGATATTGTACAAAAAAATTTGAGAGTCATAATATTTTTAGAAATGTAACAAATAATGTTTGAAGAATCAAATGGCTAAAGTTCTTCATAATATTAAACCAAGTTTTTAAAGAGTAAGCAAATTTCATAAAAATAGATCATTATTTGTAAAAAAAAAAAATTAAATAACAATACTTTAGTGACACTATTTCATAAGGGAAAATAATATAGCAACGAACAAATCTCGCTACGGTTTTTTTTGCTTACAAACGTGACACAAAATAATAAAATTGTAGATTCGAAATAAAAATCACTAGAATAATATGATAAAAATAACTCACTTGCATTCATAAGTAAGAAAAATCAATAAGATTTGTTAATTTATTATAATGTTGATTATCAAAATTCAAATACATATTAACTATAACGGTAATGACATTTTATACACCAATCAATAAAGACTACAAATAAGATTAGACGGAGATTCCTCATTACTGCAATAGTAATCTTCATGATAAAATATAAAAAATTTCAGTAATATGTCTTTTGGGATACACCAGCAAGCACAAATCACAGCTGAGTGGAACACACGTGGAAGTCACACGATATATAGTCATGTCATGCTCATCTTCTCTTGGTGGAAAGATGAGTTTCCACAAAGTTTAAGGGATGTTTGAAACAATTTTTATTAAGAATATACCTTAAAATTTAATAGTTTAGCATTAGCTTTTGATTGGAAAATGTGGATAACTTGGATGATAAATATGTTTTGATTTTGAAGAAAAATAATTTTTTCATGAGATACACTTGGTTCGTTTTCGAAAAACTATTTTCTACTTTTGAAAAAAAAAATGAATTTTAAAACAATATTTAACTTTTAGTGCATGAAATTTTTTTTAGCAAATTTTATTTTATTTTATTTTTATATATAGTTTTTTGAGCTTGAGGCTTATGATTTTTTAAATTTTTGATAGAGAGTTTTATTGTATTACAAACAACATTAGAGTTGCAATATGATTTTTAAAGGCTTTATTTTTTATTTTATTTTAATTTTAACAATGGGATGTTAGTGAATTTGTAAATTAGGTTATAACGAAAGGGTCACAATTATTTTACCAACTCGAATCATGAATTTCTAACTTTTTTTTAAGAGACAGTTATATAGACTACTGTACTGGGCCATCTACCATGTCCACTAAATTGGGTATAGATTTTTTTTTTATACTAAAAGAATTTGCAATTACAAAAAGAAAAAAAAAAGAAGAAGAAAAAAAATTAGGGTAAAGTACCAATAAATTCCAAAATATGATATTGTAAATTGTTTAGTCATTCTTTTTTTTCTTATGAACCTAAAGGTCCCACTAAAATAAAAATTATATAAAAGGGTAGTCACTTACGTGTTTGGATTTAATTTTCTAAAGATAAAAGTGAGTTTCTCTACATGTAAAATTACATATTTAGACAATTCGCATTATAAAGGTTTTAGATTTTCCCTCCTAGAACAAATCTCACATTACCGGGGGAAAAAAATGTAATACTCCAATAACATAATACTCTGATGTAACACTAACGTGACATCCAATGCAAAACACTAAAAAACTCCATGGTGCACTTTTTCTAAACGTAACAATGTAACACTCTATAAAAACTGATTAATATACTTTTTTCGAACATAATACTCCAATGTTACACACAAAAAAATTCCTTAGTGTATTTTTTCTGAACGTAACACTCTAATCAATATAATTCCAAACATAACACTCCAATATAAAACACATAAAAATACTAAAAAATTTCTTAATGTAATTTTTCTAAATGTAACACTCACAATTTGAAATTATACATGCTCAAAATTTACTAAGGAATTTTTGTATTCCTTTTGGAATTGTTTGAAGAATCACACATCCTTTTGGAATGGTTTGAAGAATCTCACATCCTTTTTTTTGCAGTATTACATTGAAGTGCTACGTTTGAAAAAAGTACATCAATGAATTTTTTTGTGTGTTACATTAGAATGTTATATTAAGGAATTTTTTTAGAGTATTATATTGGAGTGTTACGTTTGAAAAAAGTACACTAATTTTTTTTTGAGTATTATATTAGAGTGTTACATTTGAGTGTTATATTAGAGTGTTACAATTTGAAATTATACATTTGTTCAAAATTTATTAGGGGATTTTTTCACTTCTTTTAAAATGTTTGAAGAATCCTACGTCTTCTTGGAATGTTTGAAAGATCTTATATTTTAAGTAATTTTTGTACTCTTTTCAAAATGTTTTCCAAATAAAAAAGATTTTTATATAAAAATTCATCACAAATTTGATTCTCATAAATTGTGTACATTACATTTCTAGCACAAAAGAAAAAAAGAGAAGGGAACATAAAAGAAATAAGAGTATAACCGTAAATCTAATTTTTAAATAATATATTAAATCTACCTTTCCAAAATCAATGGGACTAATTGGTCTGTAAAAAAATTCTTGAGACTAAATAGATCATCATTTCCCAAAATGAGATTTATCGGTAATTTTCCAAAAAAGTAAAACAAGTAGTAGATTCAACAATTTAAAATTTCATTCAAGTTCCGTTTATTTCGACGGAACTCATGTTTTGTTGTTTGGTTGAACGAAGAGCATGTAAAACATTTTTTAAGAAAAATATTTTTACATCATTTTTTAAAAGATAACTTACTTTTAAAAATTTCATAAATCAAATTTTACAAAGTTGATTCTCACTCAATACATTTTCAATACATTTAGCATTTTCAAATAAATATCTTAACTCACTAAATAGTCATAAATGATACGTTATTAAATCAAAATTTATTGTTTAGGCAATAAAATATTTTTGTTTCAAGTGTCAACTAAATGTCAAAAAAATAAAAAATAAAAAATTTCTATGTAAAATTAATTTATAAGAAAAATAATTTTTTGCGTAAAATATTTTACGTTGAAACAAGCATAACCTAAATGCATTCAAATTTCAACCAACGGGATTAGTCCAATTGACTAAAACTCATACATCTCACTAAGAGGTAAGTGATTCGAATCCCGTTACCTACCTATGATTGTAATTAACTAGACTTCATTATAATCAAATAAAAAAAAAAAATCATTCCAATTTCATTAATTGCTGGTAGACTCCTTAAAATAAACTTCTATATTTGTATTTTGCCTTTTGTTATTAATGGTAGTTTCTATTGAATTTTAGATTTACTTTGGAATAGGGATTCATCGCATCCACCACTAGATCTCTGTAATCTTTCTATTTTTTCATACTTGTCAAATATAATCGCCAAAACATCCGCAAATAAAAGAAAATAACAAATTAATTATATATTCAAATAAGTGTTATTGAAAAAGATGGACAATATATTAAATTGTGTCAGTCAAATTTGAAATTACCGCAAAAAATAATGTCAAAAGCCTTATTACTAATAGGAATTTTTTTAATATAAAAATGTTGGAAACACGGATCAAATCATAGAACAAGTATAATTGTATTTTTATCTATACAAAACAATTTATAATTTTTGATAGATTTCTTTTTTGTTTGTTGTTTTAAATAATTGATTACGTATTTCGCAATCTATCATCATAAAAAATATGCTTAGAGAAGTTTGTTTTTTTTATTATAAACGAGTTGAGTCCAACTAAATAAGTAATTATTTACATTTAACTTGAAAATTAATCAGTTTAAAAATATGTCCAAATTTAACATATTTTAGGTTGATCTTAAACAAATTTTAATTAAACGGTCACGATCAAACTCAAGTAATTTATTCTTTATAATCGACATATAACTTACTCAAGTCAAATTTAGTCTGAATAGTAATGTTGTTCAACTTTAATTTATGAATTTTAAAAAAAATAAATTACATTTATTAACAATTTAACCTGAATGATACTCAAGCTAGACTAGTCCAATTTATTACCTTATAATCAAATAATATATTAAATAAATTTCAAAAAACTTGCCATAGAAATACAAGCAAATATTAGACCAAGTCAAAACAAAGTGCCACCGGCTATAGACAGTAACCGGTATACCAGCCACCCTCGACCCTATAAATACCTAACCTCCTCCTCATTCCTCTCCGGTAATCCTAAAACCACCAAAAACGAAGCCATGGCCCGAACATTCACAAAACCACCAAGCTTCACCGGCTCACAGAAGCGGCTCGCCACCGGCTTACTCGAGTCGGTCACTTCTCTCTGGGTTCTATGCGCCAAGCGCGCCATCCGAATTTCCAGAAAGCTCCGAGTCGAGAACTCGACCGGCTCGCCGAGGTCGCCGAAGCAGCTTCTGGTTACGATTAGCAACAAGGCGATTCAATTCAGGCTGAGGAAGAAGAGATCTTGCTCCGCCGCCGCCGAGGAGTTTGAAATCGAAGCCGGCGATGGAGAGCTGTGGCAGAGGACGATCTTGATGGGGGATAAATGTCAGCCGTTGGATTTCTCCGGAGTAATTTATTACGATAACAATGGAAATCAGCTTTCCGAGTTGCCACTCAGATCGCCGCGTTTGAGTCCGCTTCCGAGTTATGTTTACGCGAAGCGGGACTAGTAGTTTTTTTCTATGGTCACCGGCCGGTCACCTATTCAGGTCACTCCTCATATTTGATAGGTGAACATAGCAGTTATGGGTGTGTAAAATGTTCAGCTTTTGTTTTTGTTCTTGTTTTTGTTTTTATGAAAAATTAGCGACACAAAACTCAATCACAAAAAAAAGGGAACACAATCTCTGGCGGGAAGTGAATTTTATCTTTTTGTTATTCCCATGTAAGAATATCATGTTTTGTTTTGTGATTGTTTTTTTGTGTAAATAAAATTATCCTAGTTTGGTGATTAGTTATACCGCAATGTTATTGTGTAAAGGATTAGTTACTCTTATATTAGAATGATATTCGATTTTTTGATTTATTTTTCTTTCTAATATTGATTTTTTTTTCTCTTAATTTTTATACAAATAGAAGTATTGTATTGTAATTAGTTGAATCACACGCTTCGTTTGGGAAGTATAGCTTTGTAAATTTTTGGATTTTTTTGCTCTTTTAATCCGGAGCTAAAAAATCTCGTTCGGATTGGATTTTTTGATTTTTTTAACTTTAATGAGAAAAAAAATAAATTAATTATAATTTGAATGTGATATTTTGTCTTATTAATTTTTTAATCTATTTTATTTTTTATGATCATTTTAACCTGATAATCTCATGCCAAACGATGACATAGTCACATAGTTTAAAGAATTCTAAATTAGCACACACAAATCAATCACAAAAAAAGGGGGCATAATTGTCAACATAAATTTCAGAACATAAACCTTACACTTTGGATTATTTACCATGTGTATTATCAAGAAATCAAGACAAAATGACATACCTGAATCCATTGATGAACGGTTAAACGGAAGCGTGATTATCAATGAACTCTTTGTTATTAATTATGTTATTGCCTTCTAATCCTTTCCCCTTTGGTGCCTTATGTTTCTTCTTGAGAGGATTTAGAAAGAAAAATAACAGTGTTCTTATTTTTCCACTTGGGAATGAATAGGGACCATAACCTTTTAAAGGTTGTAATTGGTTTTCAAAACTGAAAGGTTGTGGAAGTTCAAAAGGAATGAAAACCAACTTTAACCAATATGTTTTAATTTCTATTTCTGCCCCTCATAGAAATAGAAATTATACAACTAGTATCTACACATTAGATCCATAACACATAATTAAATGTGGTGTTATCATTTATAAGAAGCCTACAATTTAAGTGATTCAATTTAGGTAATAGGCTTAAGGGTATATGTGTTATAGACCTAATGTGTGTAGATACACTTGCCATTTCTCATGCATTAGGGTTTAAAAGCCCCTAATTGCATTTGACTTCGAATATCAGGTTGTTGACTTTGTAAATGTTTGTTAGCATGCTTTTTTAGATGACTAGTACCCCTGCAGATAGGGGTGGGCAACGGTTTATCCGATCCGCAAAACCAGCCCAACCTGCCTAAACCGCATACAAATGGGCGATTTTGTAGACACAGTGTGGGCAGATGCGGTTTGGAATATGACGTGCTTGCGGGTTGTAGACGGGTTGCGGGTTTAACCCGCACTCGCAAGAACATGCCCGCACTTAAAAAAAAAAAAATTAATCGTTGATTTCATTCATATATTCCGCCTAGATATTTTTGCCTAAAACAAAACACCAAACCTTTTTCTTTTTCTTTTTTTTGTCAAAGGAATTATGAAGATTGAAGATTAAAGTACCTATTTTTTGGTTTGTTTTTGTTTGGATGTGATGGTTGTAAGAAAAAAAATAAATTAATTATAATTTGAATGTGATATTTTGTCTTATTAATTTTTTAATCTATATAATTTTTTATGATCATTTTAACCTGATAATCTCATGCCAAACGATGACATAGTCACATAGTTTAAAGAATTTTAAATTAGCACACACAAATCAATCACAAAAAAAAGGGACATAATCTCTCGTTAGAAGTGAACTTTTTGTTAGTCCCACACTTATGTTGTAAGAATATCGTGTTTTGTTTAATTTTTGTGTAAATAAAATTATTGTATGGGGATTAGTTATGCTGCAGTGTCATTGTGTAAAGGATTAGTTGCTCTTATATTAGAATCGTGTTTGATTTTTTAATTGATTTTTTTATCTTAATTTTTATACCAATAGAAGTACTGTATTGTAATTAGTTGAATCACAGTCTCATTGTTTAAAGAACTCTAAATTGTGGTTTATTGTTATGTGTTTTAACTTTAAAATCATCTATTTGGATTTTTTTAAACATGTTGGTTACACCTTGTATAAGGGCTGTTTGTATTAAAAAAAAAATTAAAAAAAAAATCGCTTAAGAAAATTTAAATATATAATTTTGAAATTCAAAGGAATAAAATAATATTTAGTGATAACTGAAAAATAAATGATATATATAGAAGGTAATTAACCCTTGTGTTTCATAATACAATTGGTTTGTGTTGATTAAAAAAGATAATACACTGGTTTTGAGCGGGAAGTGAGGAGAACAAAAAGGGAAGTAGCTTCCCTCCAGTCTTATACTGGATTGGAGGGTGTTGTTGGCCAGTGGGGGCCCATCACGGCTTTCATTTTAATAATATAAACTGTTCAATGTGTAGGACTTGTCGAGTACTATATGTTTGTAAAAAATCACATTGATCGAATATTGATAGGCATCTCATCGGATCAGTTTTCTATCAACCGTTAATTTGTTCACCATTCATTTTTTTTATACAAAATTATTTTGATCACATAGCTATCGATATCCGATCAACATGATTTTTTCTGAGCATATAATACTCGACGAGTTCTACACATTCAACGGTTCGGATTATCAAAATAGAACCTGTGATGGGTCCTCACGGACTCAACAACACCCTCCAATCTGATCTAGGACCGGAGATGAGCTACTCACTAAAAAAAGTGAAAAAAAGATTCAAATTCTCAGAGGTAAAAGATTTTACTCGCACAAATCAAGTGCATGAATCATTTATACTTTTATTAGTTTGATATCATTTATACTTGCACAAATTATTTTCTTAATTCCTGCCTTTCTTTCTTTATTTAGTTTTTTTTTTTTTTTTTTGTCGTGTGTATCATGCTTTTAATTAAATTTGAGGTTTTTAAAAGTTATCTTCCAAATTTGAATCATAAATTTACAGAGTCAAAGGAGAAAAAAAAAAAAGAAGAAGAAGAAGAAGAAGAAGAAGAAGAAGAAGAAGATAGCAAAAGGACAGACAAAATTATAACGGAAGATTTTTAAATGAAAAATATTTTTCAAAAATATAATTATTTTATTCGGTTCTCATAAAAAAAATTGAGTAAGTATATATGATTTTTATTTTCCTTGACAAATCTAAAATTAAAATATAGCACTAGTTTCATTTTTAAGCCTCCGTTTGGGAAGTGGGTTGGCTTTTTGGCTTTTTGGCTTTTTTGGCTATTTTAGCCTGGGCTAAAAAGCTTGGTTTGGGAAGGGCTTTTTGGCTTTTTGGCTTTTTTGGCTTTTTTTGTGAGAGAAGAATGTAATGATTATGGGTTGGATGTGATGTTTTGTTTGTTATGGCTAAAATAGCCTATTTTGTTTTTTGTGACTAAAATAGCCAAAAAAGCCTCAAAACCATCTTGCCAAACAGAGGCTAAGTAAGGTGGTCTTCAAGAGGAAAATATTTAAGACTCCTAAACATCAATATTAAATTTAATCTTAATTTTATGGATTATTACATATTAGTTATTGATTTGTTTAAGAATACCAGCAAAAGGCCCAACCCGGCCACCTTCAGGAGTGATGTTAGCAGATAGTTTTGCAGAATAAAGCCACAAAAATGATCTCAGAATTGTTTTTTCTTCTTTTCATTAAGGTTCTCCTCCTAAATTCGAACTATGAACAAGAAAAAAAAAATAATTTATGGCCAATTTTATGCAGGCATACCATATATTTTGGTTATGATTAAAAATAATGTTGGTTATAAGTCATGTACATTGTGACTTGAAGCTGTGCTGATGAAGTAGATTTATGTTGGTTCTAATGTTAAGTTTGGTTACGAATGTTAATTATGAGTTAAATTAGTGATTTTGGTTAAAAGAGAAACTGGTGTTAGTTATGAACTAAATTGACTATAGCTGATGCTTCATTATTGGTTCAAATTCATTAATTTAGATCTTATGATGGCAAGTCTAAATACATAGGGTATGTAGTTTATAATTTTATTACATATAGTAAGTTCGACTTGAAACTCGTTCGTAAAAATCCTATTAATAACTCTTGAGTGACAAATACTTTTAATTAGTGCATCTCCAGTGGACCTGTCATTTGAGTTGTTATTGTAAAAAAAAAGAAAAAAAAGAAATAATATTTGTTCCACTAAAGCAAACTTGTCAATTTTTGACATTTTAAATACATTAACATGTCAAAATTTAAGACTTTGGTAAATCAATATTGGATATGCTCTTTTAAATGTTGATGATAATCACCCACACTTATGGGTTTAACTGTGATCTTGTTCGCCCAAACCAACCCAAATCTTGTATCGCAATCAATTGGGACTACATAAATCATTTTTCTTTGTTTACTCTTAAGGATTATATGTTTAGTTAAATTAAGTATATTAATTTCATTTTAACCTTAACATCTTGTATCAGTTTAAATCTTCCTCTCCCCTAGTGTGGTCTTGTTCCAAGAAAATTTAAAAAAAAAAAAGAACAAAAATACTATTTTTTAAATTTATAATCTAAACCTTAAGAAAACTAGGAATATCAGATAGATAAGAACTCATTTTTCATCCAATTCATCCCTGGGGAGGTAAGATTGCATGCTAAAAGTCATCAGGAGGATAGGGTCCTTTTCAAACCTCAATTGGAATTTCATATTTTTTCTAGTCATGGCTTATTTTGGAAAGGGTCCAGCTTGTCTCAAGCTGAGCTCAAGATCCGACCCGTCCAGTTCGGCCCATGGGGCTCATTTTTGGGCCCGTTTTGATAATCCGAACCGTTTAATGTGTAGAAATCATCGAGTATTACATGTCTGTAAAACATCATGTTGATCGGATATCAATAACTATATGATCAAATCAGTTTTGTATAAAAAAAATAGACGGTGAAACAATTAACGGTTGATAAAAACTGTTTTGTTCACATAGCTATCGATATCCAATCAACGTGATTTTTTAAAAACATATAGTACTCGACGAGTTCTACACATTGAACGGTTTAGATTATCAAAATGGGACCCGTGGTGGGCCCCCACGGGCCCAACAGCACGGTCCAGTCCAAGATCGGACTGGACCAAAGCCACTGCCTTTTGGAAAGTAGGTTAAAAGTAAATTTTTTTTATTTTTTTAGCTTTTTTTAAATA